CGGTGGTCCCTGTTGTGGACAGGGATCTCTAGACAACCTTAACTGTGCATCTCTGCTGGTTACAGCTTCTTTCTCTCAACACAGTATTTGCCAAAAACGCCCTTTCATGAACTTTTAAGTCCATGCAGACATTTAGGGAAATCACATCTAACATATTTTAGACAACCAATTGAAAGGACAAAAAATTGTTTCTCAACTTAAAACTTTTATTGAGTTCATCCTTTTAGAACTATGTCCTTACGTTTTAAGAAAACAGCCATAAAATGAAGGAGAAACAAAGTCGCAGGTCCCAGTCCTAGATGGCACTGAGAACTGAGGCACGGCAGGGTGTGGCCGTCTGCATCGCTGAGTACAACAATGGTCAGATTGTGTGAGGTGGACCAAGGAGCGGTTCCGCAGCCTCGGAGACAGCCAGCCCTGCTGGAAGAGATGGATGAGACCTGACATACCCCAGTAAACGCAGGGAGGCAAAGCGACTTAATGGACTCCGGGATCACCCTGGGAGCACGCGCCTCTCTGGCCATTAAATATTAACGGTCCCTGCAGCTCCTGCAGAGGACTCTGTGCAGGCGCCTGTGTGGCGTGGTGCTGCTCTCGAACCGCTTACAGTCGAGCAGAGCCCGTCAGCGCCGTCGGGCAGCCTGGCGCCTGCACTCCTTTCCCACGAGGGCTTTCCCCAGAGAATGTCACAGCTTTGTGGCCTCGTAGAAGCCGCGCTCTGGGTACGTGTGCGGAGGGTGTGCGTGCCACGCTGGCTTTGAAGCTCTGACCCTCACAGCTCCTGGGAGACGGCAGGGAGGCTTGCGCTCTGGCACGTGGGACAGGGACGGCACCTAGGTCCTGTGACAGAGCCCAGGATGAATCCCTCTGAGTGCTCCTGCCCTCAGCCCTCGTCTCCCCCGTCAGCATCTCTTCATAGGGAGGCCGGGCCGATGGAGGGGCCCGTTTCTAGGGTTTTGTGTGTTCACGGGCAATTGGGCTAGCTCGGGTTTGGATTAGGGCGCCTCCGGGAGACCGCCTCAGGCTACGATAGGGCATGTTAGTGGGACACGCCGACGCTCGCCCATGGGCTGTGCTCTGCTCTGGACACACAGCCAGGTCGCAGCTCAGGGTCTCCTGCCCTTGTCTGCAGTGTGACGAGGTCTGCAGGCAGGAGATGGGTGCAACTTCTGGTCTGGGCCCACGGAAGCATCTTTACTTCCATTTCTGCTCCATGGCACACCCGAGGGCCCTGGATGAGCGTGTGGAGCAGAGACCCTCGCTCCGCCACTCCGATGCTGCTCTTCGATCAGAGGGATGAATAAGGTTTTGTGGGGCTAAACCACTGTTTTCTGTCTGTCAGAACAGTTAACTCATGCTTACCAGTACAGAGGGTGTGGAAGCGTAAACTCCATTGGCAAAGACTAAAGAAGTCATGGAGCAGGCTTATCAGGGTGTCAGGCTGTGGCTCATACAGTAAAGCTGTGGGCAGGTAAGACAGAGGGCCGGGTCTCCGTGTGAGCGTGTCTGCTGTGACGTCTCCATCCCGGGTGCTTGGACGCCAGCTCACTTTCCGAAGGTGTCATTGTACCTCATCTGTAGGTATCTGGTGGCACGTTTGTCACCAGAGGGTGCTCTAGGAATACGCTCTTCAGATCGACTTCTGCCTCTCTATACAATCCTTTAGGAACCTGGAAGAAAAAGAACTTTCCAGTCCACGAGTCAGTGTCTCCTAACTTTGAAGACACAGTCTAGCCCAGGGGCCCAGAGGAAGGGAGAGGTATGATGTGAGTCATGGGTTGAGCTGGAGCCAAGATAAGACAAAAGAAACGAGTCGGCACACACAGCCCTCCGGGGCCTCAGCCGCACCGTCAGCCACCATCCCCACGGTAAACCTGAGAGCGCTGCTGGCACTTGGCGGGGTGGTGACTTGGAGGGAGGGCAAGGCTGTTCTGCCTCCTCTCTCCTTGCCAGGTGACAGGATGACAAAGAGACCAGGTGTCCTGTCTGGATCCTGCTCGGCTCAGTTGTCATCACTGCGATGGCCACGTTCTGAACGAGGGCTCCCACGTGAGTGAAGGTGCAGTTACCTGTTGAAGATGCAGCGGGAACTGGGGCCGATGGCCTTGGGCTTGTCCTCTGCTTTTCAGTTTCTTATCTGCAAAGTGGAGCTGCTATCTCAGCCCCATCCGTTGGTCACACTCGGCGTGGTCATTAGTTAAGTCTTACTCCTTCCCTTTCGTGGTCTGAGTGCACATCCTTGGCTTCCCAGTCCCCTGCTCTTCACGTGTTCTCAGCCCCTCAGCGCCTTACCCTCGTTTCTGGTTCTTCCTCCAAGATGCCTTTCCTGCCCCTCGAAAGCTAGTACAAAACCGAGGTTGCTGTGCCCTCTGCTGTTGCCCTCACGTTGCGTCGTGCCAGTACGTGTCTGGGTGCTGGGCTACCAAGGGCAGGTACGTGCCGAGTGAGTGCAGGGAGGAAAGGTGTTCTTCCTCCGGAAACTGCTCATGCCCTATGCATCACTCTCCTAAGAAAATTCTCAGAACATGACCAGTATCATGCATGAGTGCGTTGTCTGCTCAGCATTTGAGGATAGGGATTGGTAAGACTCAAAGCTATCTTGCTTCCTGAAATAATCTACACGACAAAACCGATGCATATTTTTTGGATCCTGCTATTTCTCCTTAGCCCTCATCTGTCTGGGAGGTCCATAAAGTGGCGCATCATTGTGGTCAAGCACAGAGTGTCCTGTAGCACTGTGGCACAGGATTTTCCCCACAGTCAATGCCATGTTGAATCTTTTAAAATAATGTACATTTTTTCAACCCAAATGTTTAAGAACAGATGAAATGATTATAAAAAGTGCAGCACGTATACACCTATAGAGTACTACTTGGCCAGGGAACCAGCAGTTAGCGTAATGGCTATGTCGCTGGACCCCCACGTAGTTGACCGCGGTTCGCCTCCCGGACCTGGTGGCTTAGAACTCATGCCAGGCGCGTGTGTGTGCATGCCCAAGATCCCGGGAGGAGAATGGAGGAAAAGGGATTGCAGTGTGACCATCCCTCCTGGGGGGTGATTTCTCGCTTTCTGTCTCTATGTCTCTCTCTGTCTGTCTGGCGAGCACACGCACCCTATAGCAAAAACCTCTCCAAAAAA